GGATTGCAGATTTGCAGCACCATTCCCCCTCCCAAACTCATTCCTTTTCCCAGGATTGCAGATTTGCAGCACCATTCCCCCTCCCAAACTCATTCTTTCTCCCAGGATAACAGGTTTGCAGCACCATTCCCCCTCCCAAACTCAGTCTTTTCCCAGGATTGCAGATTTGCAGCACCATTGCCCCTCCCAAACTCATTCCTTTTCCCAGGATAACAGGTTTGCAGCTCCATTCCCCCTCCCAAACTCAGTCTTTTCCCAGGATTGCAGGTTTGCAGCACCATTCCCCCTCCCAAACTCATTCCTTTTCCCAGGATTGAAGATTTGCAGCTCCATTCCCCCTCCCAAACTCATTCCTTTTCCCAGGATTGCAGATTTGCAGCTCCATTCCCCCTCCCAAACTCGTTCCTTTTCCCATGATAACAGGTTTGCACCATCACAAGAGCGCTAAACCCAGGGAAGCCAAGCCTTACGATGTTCATGAGGGTGAGGACGTAGTTCTGGACGTGCTCCTTGCCATGGAAGCGCACCACAGAGTCGTCCACGGCCAGCAGCACCTCGATGTTGTAGTCATCCTTCCTGGCGTGGCGCCGCTTGCGCTCCGCGTCCCCCATCAGCCGCTCYGCCATCAGCTCCAGGGAATTCGGGAGCTCGCCCACCTGCACACCAGGTGCTGGGCAAGGAAAGAAAGAGCCTTTCAGGTGGCCTGACACTCCACAAAAGCAGGAGTTAGGTAGGGAAAATAGATAAGGGATTGAACTGTAATGGATGGCTGGTCCAGCTCACTCTGTGGTGAGGGAATGGCACTGAATTGGGAAGAGCGGCACTAAAAGTCGTGTTAATGGCTGGATTTAGAAACCTTAAAGGTTTTTTCCAACCTAAACTATTCCATGATCTGTTAAATGATTTGCATGATCTGTTAAAATGTTAAATCAATGCCGGATTTCATGGAATCATCATGGAATCATGGAGCTGGGTTGGAAGGGACCATGAAGCTCATCCTGTTCCACCTCCTGCYAGGGACAGGGACACYTTCCACYATCCCARGTTGCTCCAAGCCACTCCAAMCTGGCCTKGGACRCTTGCAGGGATGGAGCAGCCACAGCTTCTCTGGGCAACAAYTTCCAGTGCCTCACCACTCTCCTTTCAAACACAGAGGTGATCAAAACCAGGCTGCAGCACCTCCAGCCCAGCATCCCCTTTCCCAGTCTAAAGCCGCAGGGTGAGACATATGAGGGCTCACAGAAGGAGAAATCCTGTCCACACACAAAATATTTATTCCCAAGTGCTGGGAAAGCTGGGATTCCAGCAGCCCCTACCTTCAGGATGGAGGTCATGGCGTGGCTCAGCGCTGTCCTGCCGGATGGCCGAGCGCCGATAGACCACGTGGGCCCTCCCGTGCTCCTCCGTGTCCTGCTGGCCCCGCTCCAGGGGCTCGATGAAAAACTCATTGCTGTCTGTCCGAATCAGGCCAGCCTGGACTCCACAAAGAAATAAGGAAAAGGGAGGAGAAAAGGTGTGGTTTTATATAAAAATGCAGGGGGACATGCACTCGTTATACTCATTAATGATTGATTCAGAGCACACAGGGGAAAAGCATCCCAAATAATCCTGTCTTGATGCTACTCYGTGACACTGGGATGGTTCCATTACCATGTTTATCTATGACAGCCCTTAATTTCTCCTGTAGATGGGAAAAAAAATTTAAAAGGAAGAAAAGACCAACCAAAAAAAAAAATAAATAAAACAAAAACGCTGGCTGCAATTCAAGTTGTGTCTTTATATAGCCACAAAACTCCATTCTGTCTCATCCATGAGTTCTGCCAGACCCTGAACTCAGGGATACAAGGCTGAAGGGGCTCCCTCTAAACCTCTCTGAACACTCCCCATCCCATCCCCACAGTGCCAGGTAGGAAATCTGCCATTTCACTGACACTATGAGCTTCAACAAGAAGGAAAAA